ACAATAATATCAGATAATTAGATAGATAGAATATTATCAGATAGAGATAGATAGATAAAAAGAATATAAATACAATAATAGTATCAAAAAGAGGCTATTCTCCACCTAGTTTTGTGCAAAATTCCAGCATTACAAAAGAGACATAAAACCGTTTTATGCTCTCGATTGTGTAAACTCTAGAGACTCCAAACACAACCCACCCACCCCAAATCATACGTATTTTAGAAGCCCCAATTCCGGCTGGATTTCCCCATGCAAATCCAGACGATCCGGGCTTATGAGCAACCAAGATATCTTTTTGCCTCGGTTCTCCGACTAGCTTGGAAATCCCCCTCAGCTACGATCCAAGTCTCCGGCGGCAGGTGAGAGCCAACCCGGTTTCTGGGCCACTCACCGCGTGGAGGATGTCGACCGAAAAAATCTGGATGCAACACACGATCGCCGAGAGGGTGCACACGACGATGGAGAAAATGGTTAAGCCGCAGATGCTGAAAAGCAGGTCCTGCGGAAAAGAACACAGAGATTCGACGGAAAATTGCCAGAAAGGAATATTAGAGAAAAGGAAGTTTTGGAGATAAGATTTTAGCTAAGATCTTGCGGGATTCCAAATTGCACTCTTCCTTCCCAGGAGAGCCACACAGATGGGAACTTTCATTATTATAATAATTATTAGCAATCTGCCATGAGATTCACAGGCCAAGTTGGGGGGAAACATAATCATTCAAGTCCTAACTAAGGACCGAAGAATTCTTAGTTCCAAGTAGGGTATTTTTTGGTAAAATGAAGAGGAGGTGGTGGTGCAATCTTGTCCCGCAACTCACCTTGAGGACTAGGAGAATCCGAGAACAATTCGAATCCGTGTCCGCTTTATTGCCGCAGGCGGGGATCCCTGATTCGGAAGGCGAGTAGATGCATTTCTTATACAGGAAACTAGTCTGCAAAGAAGACAGAAACCATACAATTGCGGTTTTTTTCTCGTTTTACGCACTCTTTTTTTATACCATCATTTTTATTAAAGCGGAGAGACACAGAGATAAACAACGGATGCAAGCTAGGAAAAATAAAAACAGTAGGAAGGGGAGTGAAAAAAGATAGGTATCTTTTTTTAATATTTTTTGTCTCAAATGGTTGCGTTTTTTGTGCTAACGAGCTTTCAACAGCTTTGTATGCAAATGCATCGCTCTCCTTGCTGGATGGTGTGTTTCGCACAACGGCCCACAACTGATTCCTCCAAAGTTTTAGGGGTCACCCTTTTAAGCCCATCCTTTCCAAAACCCACTTTTCTGCAAAGACTTTGGCACAGCCTTTGTGACTGATTAGACCAGCGTTTCTCAACCTTGGCAGCTTTAAGATAGGTGGACTTCAACTCGCAGAATTCCCCAGCCAGCCACTCCAACTCCCAGAATCCCCCATGCTGGCTGGGGAATTCTGGGAGCTGAAGTCCGCCTATCTTAAAGCTGCCAAGGTTGCGAAACGCTGGATTGGACCATCTCTCTGTAAGTCATGGATATGAGTTCCTCCCCCCTCCTTTAATTGATTTAATTCTCCATCCCCCTTCCTTGATCTTCCCTGTCACCCCCGTGCAAAATTTCCAGGTGGGAAACACAGAGGTTTGGGATACCCCAACATCTGTGCTCTGGGACTCTGCGAGATTTTCAGGGGCCAAAGGAAAAATCAAGCAATGAGGCAGATTCATCTCAGAGAGTGGCGCTTTGTTTTTCTACTTTAATATGACTGCTACTGGGATACAAGCTTTGGGGATCTCTAAGCAGCATGAGAGGTGGGATATGGGCTTTGGTGTTCTCTGATTGGTGTCAGAAGTGGGATATGGCCTTTGGTGCTCTCTGGGTGGTGTCAGAAGTGGGATATGGGCTTTGGTGCTCACTGATTGGTGTCAGAAGTGGGATATGGGCTTTGGCACTCTCTGGGTGGTGTCAGCAGTGGGACATGGGCTTTGGTGCTCTCTGATTCATGTTAAAAGTGGGATACAGGCTTTGGCACTCTTTGAATGGTGTCAGAGGTGGGATATGGGCTTTCCTGCTCTCTGGGAAAGGATGAATCGGCACTCCTTCCCTTCCCGCTGCCCCAACCCTCGCTCCTCCAAATGTTACCCCTCCCCACCCCCCGTAACCGACCCGCTGCGCCCCCCACCTGGGCCTTCAGGCTCCGTCGCCATCCCAGCTCCTTCGGGATCGAAGACCCGTCTCGCTGCCGGACCCGCTCGCAGGCCTCCAAGGACTTCACCTGCTGGGCGTGCTGGCAGGAAAGGATGGAGCCGGCCAGGGTGAGCATGACGCCCAAGACGGAGAGCAGGGTGAAGAAGGTGATCTGCAGGGAGGGAGGGAGGGAGAGCAGAGGGTTCCGGGTTCAAATCTCAGAATTGCTGGGAAAGAAACCTTAGATCACATCAGCCTGCCCTGAAAAAGTCAAGGGTTTACGGAGCCTCGTGATCGAATTACACCAAAGGGTCTCCTCTCTGAATTCTGAGGACTAGAATCTTACCGGTTATGAAAAAAGCCAGAAAGTGGCATCAGTGCCTTTTCTTTTAGAGCAAACGATTAACACACACACACCCCACCACAGAGGACAGCTTCCTGCTTCTTCCGCGAAGGAATCCGTGGCCTAGCCAAGGAATTGTTTCTATTTGGGAAGATACACTGCTCCTGCCTAGGGAGGTTCCACTGGGAACGCTCAAGGCCAGCGTCGCCGTTCGTTTCAAAGCGGCACAGAGAAACAGGTCGTCTGCACGAGGATCGGTCGCACAGTTACTTTTTCATCACCGTCGTAACTGCGAACGTTCGTTAAATGAGGCAGTTGCTCAATGAGGAATAGCTATGTATATATAAAATATATATATATATTATATATATTTATACATATATCATTATATATATATATGATTCATTTGTGTTTAAGAGATGGAGGCTGCTGCAGAGTGCCCCCTCACCCCCCCTTTCTTTCCCTTTGCATACAGTCCAACAAAACCATTAAAAAAAAAAAGAAATCATATTTTCCACCATCGTGGGAAAAAAGAGAGATTGCCCAGGCGCTGTTCGGTCTTGCCCACTCTGAGAGGGGTTCTTTCTTGGGGCAAAGGGGAGAGGCACGAGATGGCCCTGGGGAAACTGTGAAAATCTCCAGTTTGCCTAAGAAATGCAAAGGGGAGCAGAGGAAGGGCGCCTAGCCTGGGGTCCAACAGGAGCGACGGACGTGTCCTCTGCGGCTTTTCTGCTTGCAAACGAAGCTTCGCACTTACCACGGGGGTGAAAGGGCGTCTCCATGAAACAATACCGACCACCCCGGAGAAGGCCAGCTAGAAACAGAGAAAACAGGCAGGAATGAGCAACTGGCATAACCCAACCCAAACTTGTACCCCGGGTCTTTGCGCTCGACTGTCTTTGCAAAGTTGGAGAGAAGAAGAGGAGAAAGAACGAAGCCTCCATGTGCTACGAAGCCATAACCGCTCCTCCTTAACCGCCGATGATCCTCAAAGTCCATCCTTCCATCAGTTCTCCTGAAAGATGGGGTTGTCGCTCGAGCCGAGGCCTGAGCGTGTGTGTGTTTTTTTCCTCTGCCCTCCTCAGCGCTTCTTCCTTGCGTGTGTTGACTTCTCAACCAGAAGCCTGAGAGAGAGCAGAGCGTGTCTCCTCCTCGCCTCTGCAGGCAACTCGGAAAGACTCGGGGCTCCAAGTTCTTCAGGCCAACCAAGGATTAGATGAACAATGTTTAATTACATGCAATTAAATTAAATGAACACAATTACGTGAACCTTCCCCATTCCACCAGCCTGATTCGCACCGCAGGTGATTCAAAAGAGGATAACACCCAAATGCTTTTTTCCCTTTCGCCTTATTTTGGTTACAACCCATCGCCCCTAAAACCCTTCCCTGATTCCTCTTTTTTCACTTTAGACGATTCTCTAAGTTCCTCGGGCACGGCCCCCCGCCGCTGCCTTTGGGGGCTTCCAAATTTCGACAAAGGAGGGGGACGCCGCAGGAAGGTTGCCAACCACAGCCGTCTTGAATCCGTGACTTCGCCTGCATCCTACCACCGCTTCGAGTTTTCGGGAGCCCGGGGTGCTGGATTTTCGTGTTCCTGGCCAACTGACCTTAACACCAGCCTGACTAGGTAGACCAGACTGGGAACTCAATTCCTTGGCTTTAAGGCCCAAATCTTGCAAGTCCTCCCTTCCCCCTCCTATACTCCTGTGAATTAGGGAGGTCTCTGCCTGATCCAGAGGTTATCCGCTCGCTCTGGACTTGAACACGCTTCAACCCCCGGAGAACAGCGCCATCCAGGTCATCTTCCCGACTCCACACGAATAACCCCCCTCCAACGCCGCCAAGCAACCTCTCCGCCCATGCCCACCTGGGCACCTGATGTGCCAGTGTGAAAAACGAGATTCCTTGCTGCAGGGGAACGCCACTCCCCGCTAGACCGGACCCAGCGGCCTTTCCAATTCCCCGCTGGGAAGCCCCTGGCACCCGTCCCTCCCCGCCCCACGGCACGGCCTCTTCCAAACTCCTCCGCCGAGAAGCTGCTCAGCGCAAGGGCAGGGCCTTTTAATGGAGTGTTTTTGCTCTGAATTATTTATCATTGCGTCTCGAGGCAAGCTGAAACGTCGTTAATGCAAATGGCTTTGAAGTTCGGCAGCGCACGCAGCAGCCTCTTTCAGACCCAGGGAGAGCCGAGCGCGCTTCCCTTTCCAGAAACGGTGGAGAGTTTCGACTTTCGATCTTTCTGGAAAGAAATTCTCAAGAGCCAGGAAAACACCACCGGAGATGGGCACAACGTGGACATGCGCGTCAACGGTTGCATTCCCCTGGGTTAGGAATAAGAGAATCTGCTTTATTTCCTTCTCTTTTTTCCCCTAGTGAAGGGCGCAAAGTGCCTTCAGCTAGAATAGAGCCAATCGAATAGAAACGACGAGCAATCCTTTGCCTTCTTTAAATATCTCACTCCAATCGATCTGAGAGGCCGCGTAAGAAGACTGCTTAGCAAATTGTGATATTCTCAGCTCTATTGATGTTTTCCATTATGTCCTGATCTGGTGTCGGAAAGGTGGTTTTAGCGTTTGGGGCCTCGAACAGACAATTCCTGGTTGGGTTTACTCATCAGGCCAAAACATGGTTGATTTAATGCGTTGATGGATAAGCCGCCATTGTCTGGATTCCCACAACACCCCCACCCATAAACCCTGGTTTAGACATCACAAGGCTACGTGAACACAATGTGTTCAACTCAAGCCAACTCACTGCATCGGAGGTTCATCTAACATGGACATCAAACCAAGCTGGTTAAATAAATAGTGATCTGTTTCACAGCCTGTTAAACATCACTGGAATATTCACCATTTATGACTCCATTTATACTTCTTGCTGGGAGTTTGGGCCAATGATCCACAGCCGCTTGGAAGCCTGGAAACGTTTTGAAAAATCTCTGGGCATCGCTTGAAATATTTCAGGACTCTTTGGGGGGAAAAAATCCTTGTGGCAGCCACGGGGTTTCGCCAATCCTTCACCCACCCACCCCAAACCGAGCTTTTAGAGGAGACTCACCGGAAAACCGGCCCAGATGGGACAGGAGTTCCCAATGGGGTGTTGAGATGGGATGGAAGTGGTGACCAGCAAACTCAGCGTCACGATGAGGACCCCCAGGATCATCTGGATGAAGCCCAAGAGGAGGATAATTTGCAGCCAAGCCCGTCGGACACGCAAGTGGGTGAAGCTGTGGGACGTTCGGCCCGTCAGAGAGTAGCTGGAGTCGCTGCGGGAAGGCATGGTGGCCCCCCAGGAGAAGGAGCACGGAAACCCCAAAATCTAGTCCCGATCCCTGGATATCAGCTTCCAACCATTATAAAATACAGTCCGTATTTTGAAGCTGAGAACAGCAGTTCCCCCTCTCCCAATTCAAGGAAGTCTTTTGGGGGGGTCCTTTTTTATTAAAGGAAAACGAAAAAGAATCCCACTTGAATGCTTTCGGCTGCTCCCGAGGTGACCCCCATATTGCAGGGGGGGGAACGCGGTGTTTTAGCCGGGAGAAGGGTTCATCTTCTGCTGGGGGGCTGATCCAGACCTCCACGAACAGAGTGCCTCTGGGTGCATGCAGAGAGCCAGGCCAAGATCGGGGGTTCCAGATGAGAAGGCGATGAAGTTCCAGATGCCTCTTGTGATCTAGAACCCGGGGCGGGCCGAGAAGCTGAGGGATCCTGCAGGAAACGGAGATATTTTTGCCTTCCTCCAACGCTGCTGAAAAACGCAGAGATCATCAGCGGTTCATTTCCAGAACGGGATCCTCCTGGAAAAAGAAACAAGTCCAAAATAGAAAAGGGTTCCTTCCTAACCCCCCCCCCCAAAAAAAGGACCTGGAGGGGCACCACCCAGAAATATTCCTAATAATAAAAGAACGCTGGCGTGGTGCGAATAAAAAGCTATAAAAACCCAACCGCTAATCCAAACCTCAGCTTTCTTTTCTGAGTGAACCAGCCCATTTCCTCCTGGATCATCACCCCTGAACCAAGCAAGAGGAGGAAATTGATCTTTCCAGAGTTAGAGAGCCACCGGGCCTTGGAAAAGCACAATTTCCTAGTTCCCTGGTGGCAAGTGGGCATCTGGGCCGCCTGCCCGGGACGTAGCCCCCCGGGCTGCGAAGGGATGCTGAAATGGATCAGGAAAGCTTTCCATCTTTTCCCATCGCAGGGCGCAATGCCTTCCCTCCCCAAGCCCTGGAGTCACAGGGTGGGCTGAAGTTGGCGCTTGCCGGAGAACCATGGAGAAGGCCAGGGCCCTGTCTTGCCAACCCACCTTGCCCCCTCCCCCAGATTCAAACTCAGAAGCCGGCTGCAAAGACAGTGAAGGAGTCACAGGCAAACTCAGCTGTTTGAAAAGCAACTTTCTCTGCACCACGTCCTTCTCCCCTCCCTCCCTCCCTCCCTTCTCCATTTCCATCTCTTTCTTCACCACTCCTTCTCCTTCCTCTTCTTCCTCCACCTTCTTCTCCTCTTCCTCTTTTCTTCCATCTCCATCTCCTCCATCAGTCCTTCTCTTTGTTCCTTCCTTCCATCCATCCCTTTCCTTCCTTCCATCTCCACCTCCATCTCTATCTCCATCAGTCCTTCACCTTCTCCCAACCTTCCTTCCTTCCTTCCTTCCTTCCTTCCTTCCTTCCTTCCTTCCTTCCTTCC